TGACCTATGGTGGGTGCCAAAAACATAAATATTCGTCCAAAACGGTCGCTGAAAGTTCCAAGCAACAGATTTGAGATGACAGCGGGTATCCCTGAAACGAGGGCTGTGTAAATCCCAAATAAGGCAGCCTCTTTCTGAATATTCTCGCTCTCTGGAGAAATGTCTGTTTCATTTATTATACAAATTGAACCTGCTGAGACGGGCATTGTTCTCGTAGGATAAAGTTTTCTCGATAAATACTGGGGTATATAAAGTCCTGAGGTAGCATATGACATGATAAATGCAAACAGATGGAAGAATAAAATAGGTCCACACATGTGATGACGCCATGATATGGATGGAGCAGAAGTTTGTATTGCCTTTCCGTGAAGAAGACCTCGGGTTTCCTCTTCTGACATGCTTTGATTTTCTTTCTGGAAAGAGGAAAACGGTTCGTTCAACTGTTTTAGCAGATGAGAGCAAGATAAATTTGCAAACACTTCGAGATTTATGTAGGCGATCAATTATGTGTCTTAAGAACACAACACTGATGAAATATAAAATTAAATCATATTCATTCTTATTTCTTTGATGAATCTATATACAAGATGTTTCCCTAAACTATCCGATATATATTTAGAGGGAGTTGAATCTAGATCTACATGTAGGCTTTATATTTAACATTCAAAATTTGACCAGCATGTAAAGTTGTCACAGTCTGAGAAACTATATTTGGACTTTTCTTTCTTATTTTCCCTTCAAGTGGAAAACTATAAGCAAGCTGATACTGTCAATACTTTGAAATACATGAGCATGGGAAAAGGTTTATAGATGTTTGTCTCTCTATAACTAGAAAAAAAAAACTCAAGCATGATTCTGGTACTAAATCCTTGTTATATAAAAAGATAACATATTCGGAGTCTTTGTCATAATTTGAATACATTAATATATGTCACATTCAACAAACTTTGCAGGCTGATTAAAACCCTCAATCAATTATTTTTTAGATTCAAATTCTAACTCTAAAGGCAAGTCATGAAAATCTTCCAATATCAAGATTTATAGATGCAGTATTCTATATCATTACTCGTATATTAGTACTGATCTTGTCTTTATTAATAGATTGAAGTTTAAACTTGCTAGTTAGTATTGTTCACTCAATGAATTGTGTCTTTTATTATTATTTTAAGAAGTTTGTTTTCCTCTAGAGCATGATTAATTTTACTTAAGAATACATTTAAAGCATCATTATTTGTTCTAGTGAATGAAAATTTAGGTAAGAACTTGATTTCCCTTTTGTTTTCAAGAACTATTTTCAAACTAATGCATGATAAACTTGAAATGATGAAGCCTTTTGTCAGATGAAAGTCGTACAGTATACGTACATATCAAAGTAACTGAAAAAATCTACAGTAAGCGGTTGTCTTTGCAGGGACAATATTGATCTTTCTCGGGTTTGTAAATATTCATCCTCTCCATTTAATGCGAGGTTTTATCAGTAATAGTCAGACAAGGTTCACGTGATAAAGGTAACGTTATAAATAATGTGCTATCATCTATTTTCTGTGCACATTCAGGTAGATATTTCTGTAAATACTAATGTAAATATTATAAAGGTCACGAGAAAATCCTACCTGTGGTACCAAGAATTGCTTTATTGGAGCAAAGAGTTGATTAAGATTCGAATGCACCTTTTAATATTGTCCACTCCATGTAGATTGACTATTATCGTTAATCTGAAGAAAAAAATTACCACATCGGGATCAGAGTACAGAAGATACCTCAAGTCAATATGGAGACTATGCGCACTTTTACCATTTGTATAGGTTTTTGTGCTGTGTCATTGAATAGATTGTATAAAAAAACTTTGCCTTTGTAGAAAATTAAATGTAATTGATAAGCTGTCATTGTGTTTATGTTTTATTGAATGCATCATGTTTAATACATATTTACTGTATACATACTCTTTATGAAAAGGAAAGTGATATACGTTTATTTTGTAACTATTTAAGAAATGTAGAGTCGAGTCCGATGGTAAATACACGGTAGAATGGAGCTTACAAAATCTTTTTATTTTCCTGACACTTTTTTTACAACAAGATTGAAGGATACTGAATCATGCAGAGGAAAGTATCATTTAATAAGCATTTAATCAAGGACGAAAAATATGTAAAAAAGTAAATTGAATATGAAGTCAATTTCATCAGGAGATAAATTGCAGTGTTTTAATTTGATTTCTTTTATCTTTGCAATAAAAAGAAAGATATTCACGACCTCCCTTTTACAAAAGAGCTTACGACTAAGACCAAACTGCAATTTTGCGAATAACTTTCTTTTTTACATTAATGTAAACATGGTTTTATTCATTTTAAAAGGAATTTACAAAGATATTTTAACCAAGTAATTTTAAACAGAAACATATACATGCATTTTGGAAGTTTTTTACAATTAACTTAAGTTTTTGGTCCTAGTCGTAATTTTTTTTGCATTATATTGATATGTTGTGTATTTTCTATTTATTTAAATTTCCTTTGAATTTGAGAAGATCATTTGAATCCATAAAGTCTGAGACATTAATAATTTTCAATTTCCTTACCAGTTCCCAACGAAAATAAATGCTATTAGCATTATTTCTGACCCAAAAATAGACTTGGGGGGGGGGGGCTCTTGATGGTGATGTTTTGTCCACAAATTGTGATTATTTAAAAAAAATGTGTCGGGGATAAATTTTATTCTTTTCTTAATACACCAAGGGAGATTAGAAAAACTCTATAAACGCTTCCCTTTTCTCCTTGACGATTAAAGAAAAGTTTTCCGTCTTCGACATTTTTTTCATTTCATTTTCTTTTCAGATATTCAAAATATGTCGGGTAAAATTTTGCATGTTCTAGATAGCCTATTTTCCTTTTTTTTTTTTAAAAAAAAAACAAAAAACTAATTGTTCATTGTTTTTATTTGTCGCAAAGTTTTACCTTTAGATGTGCAATGTCGTCACGTTAATCTGTAGGTAACGATAGTCTTATGACGAGGCCAGACGTAACTCGTGCTTGTTTTTACACTATAGAAATAAATGTGACCACCATCTATAAGATTAGATTAAGTGTCTTCTAGTCTTTTTCTTGTTCTATATCTCCACATCTCTTCAGTCCTGTGACTGACCTGATTAAACAGATACTGAAGCCTATCTTTGATATATTGTGTTTGAAAATCTAACTGATCAGTCGATAAACTTACACAATTAGGTAAGAAATTGTCATTTTTGTAGGGGTTAGACAAAACATTGCTAATATCACTGTTATGTTTGTCTGTCTGTCCATAACATGAAAAAAAAAGTATCGTCCCTGGAAAAAAAGATTTTTAGATTGATATGATAAAACGTTTTTGAGTATGTCATACTTTTATGTCCATTTAATTTTCGTTTTGGCGGAAGTTTGCGTTCTCAAAGTGGAAAGCAAATTTTATCAAAAATTCTTTCATCATCTTTCTGATTCTCCTTCAAGTCTGACGCTGTTTTGGTTATCTAGTATATTATAACTATTAAATCAATAGAAATAAAGAAGGTGACTTTTTTTAAAATTCAATTTCAAATTTTACACGGACAAATTGCATTTGCAGAGGGATGATTCTTAAGTTTCTGGCCTTCTTCCTCTTGCTGTGGAATACTAGCCCAGCAGAGAAGGCGAGATTTGATGGGTATGTATGGATGTCCTTTATATTTACGATTTATCTAAGCAATGCACTGAAAACAATAAAAAATATTTAATATATATGTTATTGTTTACTTACTCTGAAATTCAAAATGCTGTTCTAGTTTGCATTCATATGCATCTGGTTACCTCTATCATAAAAAAACTATACAAACTAAAGGAATTTTCTGAACCCAATCAATGTGTTTAAGGAAAATGTTTCAGACATGCTTCATGAATTACATTGCATGCCTTTGTTTCCTTATGAGAATGAATAGCCATTGTGATTTCAAACAAGGACAAGAGACCATAACCAAATTGTATTGAAAAATCTCGCTCTTATATCAATGTTTCTGACTTTGCCGGAAATTAAAGCTAAGGTCATTCCAAGTTTTTTTTTCTATATGTTTAGCGTCCGCGTGCGCCTTGGTTTTTGACACCCCATATAAAAAAAACAAACAAACAACAAACAAAATCAGAAATCCTGTAATTGTTTATTCTGGTCGAAATCACTGAATTCTGTCAATTTCTCTAAGTATTTGTCTACAATGTGTCATATCTGGAATATTGTAAGCATTTAATATCTTGATTTTGCTGAAGAATAGATATTTCTACGAGAAAAATGGATTAATGGAATCAAATCCTTTGAATGACATCATTTTTATGACTATAAAGACTTGTGTTTTACTTTTTGGTTTGTGTGTTTTTGCGAATAGGTAGGTAGATGTTTGAAAGATGGGTGGACGCTAAACATAGAAAAAACTTGGAATGGTGTAAATAAAAATTGGCTATGTACTTAGCTTAATGATGACGTTTATTTGGGTGATAAACACTTCCTCTGAAAGGAATGAAAAACAACATATGTTCATTCCAGACCTATGATTATAGTACTATTTATCACATTCAGATAACTACCCTAAAGTCAATAACTTACTTTTCATGTTAGTGACCCGGCCCTTAGTATACATTTGTCTTGGAAGTTTTACAGGACTGCATCTTTATCTGCTGTACTACCAAGATATATGCATTTTTCATACCAATCCATATTTCAATCAAATTTTGATTAAATTATGTTTTAATACGCTGAATTTACTGGTAGTTTTTCAGTTTTGCGAGTCATTCCTAAGTCTGAGAAGCAGCTTCTTACCTTAAAACAAATACTTAGAAATAACAAGCACTTGGAGGTTTGTATATGAATAATTATTAAATAATAATTACTTAAATTGTACTGTAAATAATCTATATTTTCTCCATGGTTTCTAATAATATTCACTTCACCTATTAACACATCTCCAACTAATATTATCTCTCCTTAATATTTGTACAGAAGTAATTTAAGTATTTGAAATAGTGCTTTCTTTCTAAGAAGGAATACACATTGATATTTTAATTACAAAATGAAACTTGAGAGGAAAATTCTTTTCATGTTCATGTAGCTAGATGTGTGGCGATATCCTAGTTTCGTTGGACAGAGTGCAGACATTCAAATTTCTCCAAAACACTATTTTAAATTAAACCAAACTTTGACCGAACTTGGATTTCAATCTGAGTTACTGATAAGGGATGTGCAAAAATTGATATCAGAACAAGAAAGAAAGAACAAGGAACTCAAAGAAACTGCTGAGGTGTTTAATTACGGCAAATACCATACACTGGATGAGGTATGGTTTCTGTACATTTTGTATATTGTTAATCTATTTAAAGTTCATGGACCCTCTGATAAGAGGGATTTAAGTAATTTATTTAAGGCTCATTGACCCTCTGATAAGAGGGATTTAAGTAATTTATTTAAGGCTCATTGACCCTCTGATAAGAGGGATTTAAGTAATTTATTTAAGGCTCATTGACCCTCTGATAAGAAGAGATTTAAGTAATTTATTTAAGGTTCACAACCCTCTGCTAAGAGAAATAACTCTCACTGAGATTAATGACTTTTATTCCCCTGTAAAAAAAAATGTCAGATTAAAAGGCGATTTCTAACAAATTTTGCACCGCGAGGTATGCTGGAATTGTTTGTATTTCAATTATATTTTATATTTCATTTGGTAATTTGAGTAAAATTTTATTTGCTTGAGCAAAGCTTTGATGAACCTTAAATCGGTCGAAAGTATTACCCGAGTATGATATGTATTTGCATTAAGACACGTAAGGTCATTGACAATATATATATTACAAGAAGCAAACACGTACAAATATTGAGTTTATTAATTGTTAGAACGCCAAAACATAGCCTTGATATAAGATAAGATGTAAACCAATCACTTTTTACCACTGAAATCGTTAAAAAGGCTTGTAAATTAAAGGATATAGAGTTCCGAATTTCCTTTTTCTCCTATTCAGAATACCAACTATCCAATGCATACAGCATTCTGAAATTACTATCCTTGCCTCTTATGTCATTTGGATATTGTTATGTTTTAGGTCAACAATTGGATCGACAATGTTACGAAGTTTTATCCCAACATAACCACAGTGTTTGAAGTCACAAAGTCCTACGAGGGGCGCACAATCCGCGGAATAAAGGTTATGTCCTTTTGTGCTTCCACGTTTAACATATCAAGTAGCTAAAAATCTAGAAATATACAAATTTTGTGTATGCTTCATTTGATTGAATGATTAACGTATTTGAATCATAATCATATTTTATTGTCTTTGTGGATAAAAGATTTGAAACTGGGAGGGGTCATATATTATGCTTAAAAAATGTCCCGATAGTTAAATTAAGAGAGTCAAAAGATAAAACGATTAGAGATTTCATGAGGCATCTTATCAAAAGTAAATTATTTATACGAAGAATAACAATTCTAGATTTCAACGGGTGACGGAAATAGCAAACCAAGCTTTTTTATTGAGGGAGGTATTCATTCGAGAGAGTGGATTTCACCCGCCACAGTGCTGTTTATGACTGGTCAAGTATGACTTCATCCATTCTTTAAATGCAAATTGCCAAAAATTTCTTTGATATTGTATTTACTATAATTGTGGTTCCTTTAATATTATGTTAAACATATCGTTCTCAATTCAGGAAGTCGATTTTGTCATTTATACTTTCTTTTATCAAAATTTTATTTTTTTTTTTAGATGTTGGATAGATATGCACCCGATACACGTATTAAACAATTGGTAGACAGTTTTAATTGGTATATCCTTCCTGTATTCAACGTAGATGGCTATGAATACACTTGGAGTAAGGTAAACTTATTTGATATTGAAATTGTTTTGATCCTGAATAGTTAATTTTTTTTGTCTAATGAAAACACTAACTCTTAACGGCTTTATCTATGTTTTGTGCCCCTTCAGATTTACAACAGAATTTGAATGAACTAAAATACGGAAGCCGGTAGTGCCAGGTAGAAAAAATATTTTATCTGGCCGCCAGAAAAGTTATCTGGCAGTCGCCAGATCTTTTTATTTGTCAGCCGCCACAAAATTATTTGGCGCTCGCCATATAATTATCTGGCGGCTGTCAGAAATTAGATGGCGGCCGCCAGATCTTTTTATCTAGCGGCCGCCAGTTATTTATATGGCGGCCGCCAAAAACTTATCTGGCGCGGCCGCCAGGTAAAATAATGTTTCTACCTGACACCTACTGGCTGCCATACTTACCATATGCATTTATAATGACAGAATCGTAACTGGAGGAAAACCCGTTCTAAGCATGGTCTATGTGTTGGGGTGGATCCAAACAGAAACTGGGATTACGAATGGTGCAGTAAGTATGGAACCATACACCTGATAAGAACATTTTCTAACATTTTTGGCTTCAACAAGTGTTAAATGTGCTCTATATTGCTGTCATTGGGTTTTATTCTTTCAAAAAAAAAACCCAAAAAAACAACAACAAAAAAAAAAAGAAGAAACAGTTGAAAACTATTTTACTTAAATTATAAATCATCGATGCAGATAGGCAGTCTCAACTGTGAAAAGGTACGCGTGAAAACTGATATTTAATCACTGATTTTTTTCCTTTTATTTTGTAAGAGGAGGGAGCGAGTAAGGACCCATGTTCCGATCAGTATTGTGGTCCAAAAGCTTTCTCCGAAGTGGAGGTCAAAGGAGTAGCAGACTTTATCATGAAGAACTCCAAAGGAATGAAAGGATTCATTGACTTTCATAGTTTCTCCCAGCTTTGGATGAGTCCTTGGGGATACACTACAAAATTGCCCCCCGATTTTAAGGACCAGGTAACAATTGTTTCGAGGTGGTATTAAATCGTGACTTTTTAAAAAAGTTTTCCTTGCAAACTATAATGCAAAACGATACAATTTTTCACAGTTTAGTTACTCCTTTGAACTATGTTGTAAAACGAATACTAAATGGAAGACGGAAATCTCAGAGAAAAAAGTGCATTCAACGATTTTTTTTTCGTAGCAGTTTTATTTCACTTTGTTCTTAATGTGTTGGATTATTAGCGTTTTGAATTTGACCTAAAACTCGTTATTTGAATAGTACTTGTATATGAATATATAATATAATTTATGTATCGGGTTCTCAAAGGAGTACTCGCATATTATTTTAAGGACAAGGGATCTCAATTAGCTGTAGAAGCATTGGAGAAGGTTTATGGAACCAAATACAAGCATGGTAGCATTGCCAACACTATATGTAAGTTCTGAAATGCATGATGTCAAAATTATTTATATTTTATTTTTTTATTTGTATTTGTCTTTCACACGATGTTTTATCTCGCCAGACGTTGCAAGCGGCAGTAGCGCTGACTGGACGTACGGGGCCGCCAAAATCAAATACTCTTATGGCGTAGAGCTACGTGATACTGGGAAATATGGATTTCTTCTGCCTCCAGAAGAGATTATTCCATCTGGAAAAGAGACATTGGAGGCTCTCATAGCTTTAGCTAATTTTGTTGTTAATAATTATTTTGATCATTAAAATTTCAAAGAAAAAATCACTATATATTATTTAAACTAATTTCTTACAAATTCCTACAAATAATCTACATGTGAACCCTTTTGTCTTCTGCACGTATATCTACAAGGAAATGGAATCCCAGAAGTGTCTCCAGATTTTCACGTTATACTGTCTTATTATATAGTCAATATCATTGGTAACTATAATTTATTGAGGTCCATCCAAAAGTTTCATAGACGTTTCAGAAAATCTTCGTTTATACGGTCTGTTTGTCCCATGATGTGTCCTTTCCAGATATTTAGAGTTTGACGAATGAGAGAGAGGATTGTACTGATTGATCAGTGAGAAGGACTGGAGTTTGACTCCGATTCGGCAACATTTCAGCTAAACGTCGGCTGTCTAACGATGCGAAATAATACTAAAATCATACGTGGTACAAATTATATTAATACTGTATTGTAATTTTACGATCGTCTGCCATAAGTGCTTTTGCATTGGTGAATAATTTTGTCATATTTTCATACTGTGAAATCACTAGTTTGGGGGATTAATGTTCGTTATTTTTGTGGTATGAATTAAGAGACCGTAAATGTTAATTTTTTTTAGGACAGTATCTTATTCACTCATTCAACATCAAATCCCTACGACCCAATACTTTTTCCCCATCAAACAACGAAAAATCGAAACATAAGTTATGTTACATTACCTTTAAGTCAGTCTTATAGTAACCTCATTTTTTTTTAATTTCCTTTAAATTTCCGCACAGTTCACAATAGGGTCCAGGTTTTCATTTCAATTAATCTATGAATTTGATGAGAATTTACATGTATCATTAAATGTTAAATAGAATGCATAATCAATTGCCGCGAAAATCTAGGATCTCGGGAATTGCACTGTTCGTTTGAGACAAGTCTTGGACGACTCGTACATTTAGTCATTGTCTTTGGAATACAATCATTTTAATAGTTTTGTCACAGGGAAAGTCAAATATCTTTTTTCCAACTCTTAACAAATGAACAGTAGATTGATGAAATAACGAACTGTCACTCTGATTAGATAACAAAAGGATGGTCAAGGGAATTCGGATAAATTGCTGTATTTAATAAACAGTAATACTTCATCATATAATAGAAGTAAATAAATAATTTTTTTAACAGATTAGTTTTTTAAAAAGAAGAAGAATTCATACAGGCCTCTAAACACATTAGACAGTGGATATTCCCAGGCTCGGGTGTTTACAAAACGGTCAGTACAAAATCACATCCTGCAACTTACAGGCCTGTAGCAACGTTTTCAAAGTGGGAAAGGGGGATGGGGACTAAAAAAAAATGGCAAGAAGAAGAAAAAAACCCTTAACTGTCCAAACTAGAAAAAAAAATTTGGGGGGTGAGGTGGGACTTGGATCTTTTCCTAACAATTAATACTAACAATATTTTTTAAATTATTTCTTTCTTTATTTGTTATTTATTTTTATTTATTGGCTTTCTTTTGTCTTTGTTTTAGTTTGTTCTTTACATAATTTATTTTTGTTTTTTTTTCCGTAGTGTATACCGTGATTAAGTGATCGTTTAATTGAGTCATGACGACAGACTACTAACTAATTGAAGCTTTCTTTAAATCGAAACGCAGTACATGTACGCAGTACGTTCCTTTGTATGGGTACATTGTTATAATGTTATTCAGTTATCTTAATAACATCGTTTACTTTTAATAGATTCTCCGCTATAATTGCTGAGTTATAAATTTGTTATCCTACCAGCTGAAGCTTTTTTTCTTCTACCTTTCTTTACATCCAGATCATATGTTAGAATTGTTATACAATGCGTAGAAAAGGAAACATATTTTAATGATAGTACCTCACTACATATATGGTTCCAAACAACGATTTTTCGATCAAAAATGGCATTAAACTCCAATTCATTTCCAATTCTCTTAAACATATTTATACTTATTAGTAGATGTAGTTATACGAGTAAACAAGTAGAATGGACAATTACAAATCTTTGTTGCAATAAAAATTTGCAATCCCATGTGTTATATATACTCCTCTTGTTATATTCAGTAAAAAAAATTTCTATTTTCTGTATAGAGAAACAGTCAACATAATTGATATTAGCTGCTGGCTAAAGCTCTAAACTGGCTAAAGATGCCGTGGAAATGTGTATGAAACAAACTAATCTATACATTTGACACGATATAAGTATGGCTAAAACCGAAGTCTGGTGATTTAACTCTAGGCTTTCAAACCCCAAAAGAGGATTTTATGCTTAATTTACGAATTGCTACAATTTGAATAAAAAATATATATTCGTTTTCATGCCCCTGCATGCAGCTGAATATCTCTTTCTACTGAAATAAAAATATATAAAGCTGAAAGAACTCCTAGTTTGCCTTAAAATTGATCAGCACTAATTAATTAGGTTTCTGTTGATCATGTTGTTGATATCATGGGAAACGAAAGGTCGGCATTGAACATCTATGTTATTGTGTTCGTTTATGAAAGCTGTTTTAATTCCTTATTAGTTACAGGTATACAGTTATCCGTTTAGCTCTATTTTTTTCTTCCAAAGTTTTGTCAACTATCGATCTATTGTGAAATACAAATTTACTATTTTGATTTTTATTTTCATGTGCATTCAAATTAATCATGACAGTTTTACATTATCAAAATACAAAAAATGTGTAAAATATACATTAATTTTTAAAGTGTAAAATTCAGTGTAAACAATCACATGTGAATCCATGTTCATAAGTTCATAATGATGATCACTCAAAAACATTTGCAAATTTTATAAATTAATATGCAATGTAAATGGCAAAATAATGATATCGAATACACAATAATAAATACTAAAATTACATGAATTCAATAAAAACACGATTCAGGACTATAACAAAAATTGGAAAAAAGAATAAAAAAAAAAAAACAAGAAACAGAAAGCAAGAAAAAATAATAATAAAATAAACAGTATGCACACCCGTATTCAAATAACTGATGTAGTTTTGAGATAAAATAAACCGGAAACACGTAATATGTCTAATCACCCGCACGTTTTAGGGACAAGCCATCCAGGATAGACCAATGCCGTAGAGTTTGGTGTCGTGCCACGTCGACATTTGAAGCTGAGCTTGGTATTTATCGACATACAAAAGGGAACTGTTCACACGGAAATTTTCGGCATAGTTTACATCAATGAAATTAAGAGCGTACATTACTGAGGGAGTTTCACTAAATGGGGGATCAAATATTATTGTCTCTGTAACGGGGTAAAATGGCTCCACTGGGTAGCTGTATGCACCGATTCGACCACTCTGACCTGTCAACATTTTAGAATAAATCTTATTTAAATTTGAAATGATATATATAAAACAAACTATGACCATACTTCGTTCCTTTTGATTAATATTTTGATTTTTCAGACTTTCTTGTTTAGTTTTGTTTGGTCTAAATGAATTAAATCACTCCCTTTTAAACTTCCTAAAACTGATTTTTCTTATATAAAAAAAAAGAACAGATCATTATTATTATTTTTTCATGTTAAAATTCATTGTAATTCTTATTCATTTTTAAAGATAAAATTGTAAGATTTTTATATTAATTACCTAATAAATACTGAATAAAGCCATTTGTATCATAAAATCAAAATACATATATGTACTTTAAAATTTTGACATATTGATATTTCCTAATTCTTTTTAAATTTAAAATTTTACTCACATTTTTCAGCATCCGTTGCTCCTACATGTAATACTAAAAGCAAGACTGCAAAATTTAAAAAACAGGAGTTATTTTTATCTCATTATCAAGAATGTGAATCCTATATAGCTTATTTTGTTTTATATTTGGTTTGCAAACGAATGATATACGTTTAGATTCATACCTGTACAACGCAAAATACTGCTTTTCATGTTTTGTACTTTATCCAATGCCAATTGTCTTTGATATGCGACTTGTCCACGAGACATCTTATATAAATACTGAAGTATGCAGAAGCGATTTGTTAGGCTTGTCTGAATGATGGACGTTTCGTCATACCTTAATTGTTTTTAATTCTTTTAAGTGTTTATGTGGGAGGCGATTTTAGCATGTAGCGTTTACCACACACCTGGTTTCGATGCCATCCTATGGATATGTGAAAAAAGCGTGCGTCGTGTGGTTTTTTAGGATGTGCATGCAGTTTTCATTTTGTCATCAATACTATTTACTATAGATGTGTCAAATTTACGTAGATAAATAAGAATATTTGTATTGAGGTTAAAGGCAAGACTTTTCTTTTGAACTTGCTGATCAAGGAATTATTTAAATTGATGTACATTCCTTTTCGGAAGTTAAATTAATGTGAAATGAAATAAATAATTAACAGGCAAATGTATCATCGGAAGTAAGGGGGCTTTAACTATATGGGGGGTTAAGTAGGTATTGATTTTGTTTTTGCTGTGATTGTGAATATGCAAACATTATAAGTTTTTTTTTTTCTATTTAAATTTACACTTTTTCTATTTAAATTTACATACACAAAATAAATGTAGATATAGAATATTGCTTAAATTTAAATAGTGATAGATTTCTTCCTCTAACTCTATGTTTGTCAGCCCTTTAAGTGAATTGCCCCCCCCCCCCAATATTGAGTCTTTCTTTTAAATCTTTCACTATATACATATACAGAGGGAAACAGCAGGTATATATATCCTCAAATTTTTAAATTTTTAAAGAAGCAGCATTTATAAGAGTGCATCTGATTAATAGTTATTACATTTTATTTATTTGAGAGAGAGAGAGAGAGAGAGAGTTGTGTGTGTGTTTATCCATTTTATATTTCTTTTGAAACTAGTAAACTTATACCTCAATAATCAGAGAAATGAGAAATGTTTTCATTTTTCAATATTTATTTTATTACTATACCCAATTGATAAAAGGTTAACATATCATGATGATGAAATTAACGATTCTTCCTCGCCGCATTTTTGTTTCCTATTCGACTTCCTCTTGTACCAAGCAACAAAATTGGTTACAATCACAAAGACGACCATGAGAAAGCAAAGACCAATGGCAGTTAAGACGTAAACATTAAAAGCCAGACAATCAGTTCGCTTGACTTTAAAAATGAACTGTGCCAGTGCTTTCCCCTTCCAACCAAGTGGTTCTTGGCAACGGTATCTTCCATTATACCAATCTCCTTGAACTTTAGTGAACTGACCTTTGTCCTTTACCCATGCCACATATGGCATAAGTTGGCAACTACATTTAAATGGGTTTCCAGTTAAGTTTAGTTCTGTAACACTTCGAGGTAGTAAATTCGGATCCAGTGTTTGAATACGATTCCATTTTAAATGAAGTATTAATAGCTTTTCATTAGTAAAGTTAAAATGAGGAGCCAGCTTAGAGATTCCATTGCAATTCATCTTTAATATTAAAAGATTTTGCATGTTCCATACGATGTCTGGAATAAATGATAGGCCAACTGAACTAATATCCAGGATTTGTATTGTGTATGAAATTGGTTTAAACAGTAAAGAAAAATGGATAGAATTCCACTGACTCAGATTCCATTGCGTCATTTGTAGATTGTTTAGCTTAGTTAGATGAGTGAATGCAGCAGTATTTTCATCCGATGGTGGGAAAATATATGGTATAGAATTAAGATTCAATACTTCTAGCTGTCCATTCCTCTCAAATGACGGCAGCTGGATTTTCGTAGTAATGTTTAACCCATTTAAATTGAGTGACTTCAACATTGGAAAACTGAAGAAACTTTTTTTGTGAAGTCCATCCTCCAGAAAGCAGCCGCTCAAACTCAAGTGTTTTAAATTTCTTTGCACGCATTTTTTTTGGTCTATAACAGATAACCGTAACAGATTTCCATTCAACGTTAGATTTTTTAAGCTTGGTATGATATTTCTGTTATTTGGACAGAATGTCGAATTCAAGAAGGAACCTGTGTGTGAGAGGTCCAATGCCTTCAGCCAGGTATACGTTTTTGGAATAGACCCCAGGGAAAAATCTAAATTTTTATTAGAACTCAGAACCAAGGTCCTGATTTTAAATTTTCTAATAAAATCCAGGGAAAAATATTTTATGGTATTGTTCCGAAGGATTAAATGCTTCAGATAATGAGGAAGCAGACCGAGGATATATTTAACTACTGATGTGCTGAGGGCTACATTCTCTAGACAAAGAGTTGTCAGTCTTGTTGAATTAATACCTTCAAAGCCAACGCGTATTGCTGCTCCAAGCATGGGACTGTTTTTCACTTGAAGTATTTCTAGGTTTCCGAATTTTGAGAATAATCCTGTCTGAATTGATGTTATGACGTTATCTTGAAGGTTGATGCATTTTATTTTCTTCCAATCGAATTTCTTAAAAGTATTCAACGTTAAATTTGATACGTTTTTATAAAATATATGAAAACATGTAGTATTACGTACATGTTCATGTAGTTTAGGGCAGTGGCTTGTTGATAGTGTGCATTTTGTCACAAGGGCTAGCACGCAAAAAAGTGTAAGTATAGATGTACCCTACAATTAAAATAGTAAATGGAAATAATTTCTTATAAAATTATATATAAAGTTATATACACAATTATGTTTTGACAAAATGTGATTAAACTTTTAAATTAGATTATATTTATATAATGGAATTTAACATATGGTGTCCAAAAGACTTTATACATCAATGTTTATACTAAAAGATCCAAATTTTCTTACAATTACATGTACAAATTATGTATGATTTAGATTCTTAAATATATTACTCTTGATTCAGATCATTTTAAACCGAATGACATGTTGGGGGTATAAAAAAATAACATGTGGAACTTCTCAGATAAGGAACCCCCAAATCCGTTGATGAACTTCCTACTTTTTATGTATATTTTCACCAAATATTATAAATAATCTACATGTACATAACTAGCAAAGTTTATGCCGAATTCCAGTAATTCCAAAGATGTGTGAAATTTAATTCAAAAATTGACCCATTTTCACATGTACATGAAAAGTATCATTTGACGTTTTATCAAGGTTCTTATCTTGTCCAAAATAAATAAATTGATAAATGGAAAAAAAAAACTACTCGTTGCTAAATCAAGAACTATTTTGATGTAAATTTCGAATTTACGGGGTGGAGCTAAATGCAAAATTTACATACAGTTGGATAATATTAGCTTTTCCAAAGCTTGCTGGAAATATCTCAAGAAGTTGCCGATTAGCGAAAAACTCGCTAAACTTTAATGGGGTCTCGATCTGATAAACGCTTGTAATTGGGAATTTTCTCTCAGGTGACGGGATATTGATTTTTAATTCCAAACATGTGCCCACCCCAGTCCCGAGCGAGGAGGATAAAACATCCAGTATTCTGCAAATCAATGCATGACCTAATGAAAAATTGACTAATTGATCTGGAGTTATTAACCTTCCCTCTGAGATACACACCTTCTTCTAAGCCCTACAGCTTTCCAGCTGCTTTGCAACTGACCACGTGTCTTAGTTTCGCATTTACAACTCTGTCTATAATGCACATCATTTTTTTCAGCAAACACTCTGCTACACTGCAAATGTATCTCATAATTATTCTAATCATTTTTCTACAAAAATATCACATCAAACAGGGGATATCTCAGGTTTTTGTGTCTTTTTTTCAACGAAATTTGACCGGGTCTTTAGTACGAAATTATCTCCCTGACACCTCGATTCATGCGAAAGCTTTTCCGTATTAACTTAAAAAGTTGCAAAAGAGATCAATTTTCAGCGGAATTTTTTGATGATGTCATATTTCCAGAATGGTCCTCCTTCATGCCATATTCTTTCATGTTTATCATAGACATATACATGTACTTAATTCATATTTAAGCCAGTTTCAAAACTTTTTTGAAAACAATAAATTTTAAGGGCACAGTAAAACCAAAAAACATACCTATTTCTTTCTTTGAACGATGACAAAATCTTTAGTAAGACCATTCATCAATATTAAACATGAACGGCTGATATAAATAATAAGATTCACAAGATTTTCACTTGTTTAATTCTTCATGTTTCAGCTGGAAAGTGATCTTATTATATTTGTTTAAAACATGTCTGTTGGTTTTGTTTGAATTTGTCCACGAAAAAACTATTTTAAAAATCTTTATGGATGATGAATATCTTTAAACTAAAGTACATGATTTTCTTTTTTCTTTAAATCTGAAATTGACCCTTTATGCAAATGCAAAAGATTATGTAATAATAGTGACAGATCTCTTTAATATGGTTCAATAAAATTCTTAGATTGCTATCTTGTTTAGTTGTTTAACTCCCTTCGTGAATTTTTCACACATCACTTGTCGGTGAAGGGCTGCAAATTTAGACCTGTACTCGGCACTTACGGCCTTTGAGCAGTGAGGGATCTTTTTCGTGCCAGCACTTACTGCGACACAGGACTCGGTTTATACGGTCTCATCCAAAGGACGGTCTCCACGTCTCACATAGGATTCGATCCCGCGACGTATGGATCAACTCTTTACGCCACGACTCTAGAGCAAACGCGAGCGACTCTTACATTGCAATTAAGATTTTATGACAAAAATATATCAACAGAATTGACCATAGAAATTCTACCGCACAGTGTATACTTCCTTGTGAATAAAAAGCCCTCAAGCGATCGATGGCCCTTAAGTGGAACCATTGCAACATTTTTTTATACTGATTAAAATTTTGTTATTTGGAGCATTGACGATTCAAAAGTGATTTAATAAGATCTAAATAGCAAGTTATTATATTATCCTTAGTACAGATATCACGAATTAATATCAGAATGTAACTCACCATCTTTGCGATGTCCGTTCTGCCTGTTTGTACCTGTAATAACTTCCTTATGAAAAGGAAGTATAAAACAAGTGCATTGATAAAACTTAATGCAAAGTACAACCTCCATTAATCCTATCATACGCGGATTAAGAGAGGCGATAAAGGGGGACGCCACGTTTATTCAA